ATATTGTAGGATCAGGAGACAATAGTTTACAAAAAATCGCTTCAATATAGTAAGCCAAATCTTTTCTGGGTTAGTATATAGGTGTGTTTCTCGGTCTTACGAGATCTGTCGCAGGATAGTCCAAACTTAGAACAGATTCATCGGAGTCGCAGATCGGTAAGCAGACTTATTCGTAAAAGCGAACTGTATTAAGGCCATATAAATTCTTCTTCCATTTCAAGCGAGTTTAATCAGCGGATTCCTTCCAACTCATAATTCCTCTTAAATATAAAGTCTAGTCACACTAAGGGATTACTCGAAAATCAGCTTTGCAACACAAATACATCTTTGAATCATCGGCAACTTCATTATAAATGTTATTGGAGAAAGGTTTGGCTTGCCATAAAAGTCACACCTGTCATTTGATCTAGAAGAAACCAAAGCTGTGCACCGGAGTAGTCACGTGTCGCTAAAATAATCATGACCCACTTTTAAATCCCACAAGGGGTGAAAATAAGACCTTAAGAGGTCGAAATAACAGTCAACTCTGAATAAGAAAACCATTTGGGAGGAAGGGTTAATTAAAATTCAATTAAATCGTGAGGTCAAAACATAATTGTGGAAAAAACTCCACTGCCAGTCCTAAAATCAGCTTAAGGGACCTACGACAATGTTATTATGTGAAAGATTGTGACTCTTATAAATCATATTTTTTTAAACTCTCAGCGCCCTATAACATTAATTTCCACATGAACGTCCGATCCAAGTGGAAAAACTACACAGGAAGATAATTTTACGATAGCTAAAAATGACCACATTTAACCCTTTTCGTTGTTAGAATAAAAATTGTATATAGAGCGACATTCCATAATTTTTTATAAAGCCTTCTGCACTACAAATCTGAATTTATCGTCACAAATTTATTACTAAATTAAAACTTAATCTTTGAAGTTGCATCGAATCGAGCCACACCGAAAAAAGACGAAAGGGCACAAAAAAAGACGAACTAACTCATTTCTAGATAACTAGCATATATGATTTTTCAGATGCTATAACGTTTGAAAAAACAAATGGAACCCGGGCCTAAGGACTAAGGAAGAGAAAGAGAAAGAGAAATTAAGGGGTATGATGAGTAGCCATTTACCAATTAAATAAAGTGGAGGGTTGATTCACCTGAGTTTTGAAGGTTATTTGTGTTTAAAGAAATACCTAGAAGGTAATGCGTACTGCACCATCAGCCACTATTGCTCTCTATAGTTCTAGAATCTTTACTTCAACTGAATACATTGCAAAACATTTAACCAACATCATCAGTCATTAGTGTCATCCTCCTGACACAGAGCTATAGTACGTAAAATTAACAACCTT